GAGGGAGGGGAGAAGGAAAAGAGGAGGGAAAAGAGGAGAGGCGAGAGAGAGCGAAACACAGATGTGACAGACACATCAATTGGTTGCCTCCCGCACTCGCCCTTGACCATAAGTCGAACTTGAGACCCTTGCGTGCGGGGGGGTGGGGGGTGGGGTGCGTGTCTCTCTCTCTAACCACTGAGTGACACTGGCCAGGGCCCCCTAATTTCCTTTTACAAAAATAAATCTATCACTGCTCAGGGCACCATTCCCTCACTGGACAGTCTTGCACATTCCCTCTCCCTCATCAAAGCCACCACCCACGATGGAGACAGACGTGCTTGGCTTGTGTGCCAAGCAGTACCAGGAAATGACAGCACCAGGGGGCTCCAGCTGCCCCAGTCCTAGAAGGAGCCTTCTTCCCAGAAGGTCAAGAATTCCCACATTCCACTCACAACTGCCACAAAGCCCTGTACAGGAGACAATATGTTGTCCTGCCCAGGAAACTGAGGGTGGACTCAATCGACAAAGGCCCTTCAACTCAATTTCCAATTAGGTAAATCTCCCCGTTAGTTTTAGATGGTCTCTTGAGGAATCAAAATGTGAAAATCACTTAGAACCAGAAGGTGAGAAGCACAAGAGGCTGGGATTGAGCTGGGAGAACTCTTCTCCATGGACCACGGATGAGAGGTGAACCCCAGACCTCCCAGTGCTCAGATAGAAAGCCAGGCAGGTGTGCCATGTACCAGAGGTCAAAGATGAGAGGAATGGAGCCCTCTACTGGGGGCAGGGTCCACCACTGCCCAGCCACACCAGATGCTGACCACCATCAGTAGGGCAGTGAGCACACCCATGTCCACACTGGAGTCTTGTCCCAAGGTTGGGTCAGGTGTCATGGGGACACTCCCACCCAACCACCATGGGGTCCCAGGCACCACAGGGCTGCCCACACTGGACCCTACCTGCCTTCTTTGGGATGGCTCCAAGGCAAAGCTTTACTTGGAAGTACCTGTTTCTCCAGGATGGTCACCCACAGATTGGGGCCCTGGAGAGGTCTTTCTTTTTTAAAAAAAAATGTATCTTTACTGATTTCAGAGAGAGGAAAGGAAAGGAGAAAGAGAGATAGTCATTGATTGGCTAGCCCGCAACCCAGGCATGTGCCCTGACCGGGAATCGAACCCTGATCGCCTGGATCCTAGGTCGATGCTCAACCGCTGAACTACGCCCAGCCAGGGAAGGTATCTCTTTTCAAAAAAATATTTTTATTTTTAGAGAGAAAGGAAGGGAGAGGGAGAGAGAGAGAGAACAACATTGATGTGGGAGCAGAACATCTATTGGCTGTCTCCTGCACACCTCCTAGTGGGGATGGAGCCCACAACCTGGGCATGTGCCCTGACCGGGAATTGAACCAGCAACCTTTTGCTGCTTGGGAAGATGCCCAACCGAGCCACACCAGAGCAAGGTGTCCCTTCCTAAAGGCTGTGCCCACATGATTGGGCATAAAGAGATCCAGCCAGAGCTGTCCGCAATGAACTTTTCCTTTTAGTTTGTGGGGAGAAGCCTGTGGTACAAAATTAGGTGAAAAAGTAGAATATAAGACAGTATTTAAACAACTTCTGTTCAGAGGCCACCATTCCAGAAAAGTAGCTACAAGAAAACCAGCAGTCAGGTAGCCATCCAGCAGTCCGACCTCACCTGAACCCATGCTTTCTCACTGGGGACACAGTGATTTTTGACAGCAAAACTGTGAAATCACAGAACAACACATGAAATTGGGCAGAACGCCCTAGCTGGTTTGGCTCAAAGGCTAGAGCGTCAGCCTGTGGGCTAAAGAATCCTGGGTTTGATTCCGGCCAAGGGCACATACCTTGGTTGGAGGCTTGATCCCTGGCCCCGGTTGGGGCACGTGCGGGAGGCAGCCAATTGATGTGTCTCTCTCACACTGATGTTTCTCTCTATCCCACCCTCCCTTCCACGCTCTCTAAAAAGCAATGGACAAAAAAAAGAATTAAAAATAGAACTGCCTTCTGACCTAGTGATCCCACTTCTAGGAATATATGCTAAGAATCTTGAAACACTAATCAGAAAGAATATATGCACCCTTATGTTCATAGCAGCACAATTTACAATAGCTAAGATCTGGAAACAGCCCAAATGCCCATCAGTAGGTGAGTGGATAAAAAAGCTGTGGCACATTTACACCATGGAATACTACGCAGCTGTAAAGACGAAGGATCTCTTACCCTTTGGGACAACATGGATGGACCTAGAGAATATTATGCTAAGAAAAATAAGCCAAATATCACATGATCTCACTTACATGTGGAATCTAAAGAACATAATAAACTGATGAACAAAATAGATTCAATGATATAGAAGCACAGAACAGACTGACGAATCTCAGAGGGAAAGTGGGGGTGGGTGGATGGGCACGGAGAGATTAACTGGAATTTATATGCATATATGCATAACTCATAGACACAGTCAATAGTGTGGTGAAGGCCTGGGGCGGGA